CTACAGACGTTGGCTAGCTGAACCGCGGTTTAAAATGCGTTGCAAAGACGACGATCGTCTATTTCTGACCGTTCTCTAAACGAACTTCGGCAAAACATTAGCTCTTACTTACTTCGCTGTTACTCCCCTGTATTAGGAGTCGTTCGGCCAATCGGGTTATTTGTTTGTGACGTCAGAAATTAATCGAAGTTTAAGTCTTCGCCCATTTGAATATGGAAATTGGAACATTTAGAACAAATTTAAAGTATTTAATTTTGTTGTTTTTGCTCCAAGCAATTAATTAATGAATAATTTTGTCGATTCATACCGTTTACAACATTTATCAAAGGAACGATATCTGTTTTTATCTAAACTTTTCCACGAACAAAGTTACCATTCGAATCGAAAAGCCCTCTAAACCTGCTGTCGAGTGAGTCTAGAAAGTAGGTCAAATAACTTGTTTCTAAACGCTGTCTACATTGTGGCAGGGGAGAAACACCGTCTCTGCAATGAAATTTTTCTGAACAGCGGTCTACCCGATCTGTAAACCGCCGCCGGGCTCTAAACGTTGTCTCTGCAATCGGCTGTGGGAGTTCGGTAGTGAGTTCGCGCTTCGCTCGGACGGGCTGGCCACGTGGCGTATTCCGGTTATCTCCACGTTTGTAACTCCTAAATAGGAGCTAGTTTCCCTTAAAAAGATTTCCCAGAATGTATTCCCACTAGGAATATCGCCCAAGTGTTTCATTGCCATAACTAAACAAACATTAATCATCAAAATTTATTAGCTTTACGCCCCTTATGTACAATTTATTATGTTAAATTTCGTTTCTTAATATGAATATTTATCCCATCTTGAGATATTAAACGAAATAGACCCCAAGACACACGGAATATTTTCCTGTTATTTTAAATTTTTGGATTCAGGTGGACTGAAAACATCGAGATTCGCAAAAAGCTCGAAAACGCAAATTTGAAACGATTGAAGTACTTATATAATCTAAGAATAATTACTAAATCGAACATTTAAAACATAAATTAATGCTTATAAACAGAAACAGTCAAATAAAATTATTAGTCATACATTGAATTAAAGAATTTATACAGTATATTTATAATATTTTTATAAATTGTTTACCACTTATGTCTTTTTATCATAATTAATAATATAAAAGTAAATATTTAGTTTACGTAAGCTTCAATAGCAATAATTGTGTAACTTCTTTTAAAAATTTTAAACCCGGAAATTCTATAAAATTTTAAAACGTTATTGTAACATTAGTTTCATTATATATATCCTTAACAATATTTAATTAAAGTCATCATGACAAAGACCTAATATCTTAGTATAAAACTACGTTTTATTTCTCATTTTAATACTTTTACATCTTACGATGCAAAAGAAGACTATTTTATTAACTGTGTGCATTCTTGCAAGCGCTTTTGCAATTAATAGTGACGGCGATGACAGTCCTCCAAAGAAATATGACGGGTAGGTTATTTCATTTTTTCGTATTTTTAATTATAAATGATATTAATGTAATTAAATGTCTCTTAGATATTTTGTATTTCGTGTCACACCATCCAATGAAACCCGTCTGAAATTTCTTCAATGGCTTCGCAATGATGCTGAGGTAATTTAAATTCTTTAATGTATTTTAACTTTATTGTAAGTTTCTTTGGAAAGTTGCTTATACTTTAGTTAGATTTTTGGACTAATCCTGGAGTTATAGGAAAACCAGTAGAAATAATGATTCTTACTGAAAAATTGCTACAGTTTAATTTTAATCAAAGTTTCACTGCAAATAAAATAGATTTTTCTAGAAATCACAGGGAATGCAAAGAACAGTTACTCATAGATTCGTTCATTCTACGTCAAGCACACAAACAACACAGAAACATAGACACGGCATATATAGACTACAGAAAAGCATTCGACAGTGTTCCACACAGTTGGCTGCTACATATTCTACACATGTACAAAATACATCCATCACTCATTGCATTCTTCCAAAACACTATGCAGCACTGGAGAACAACACTACATCTCAGGGTTAGTAACACTTCCATACAAACAAACGAAATATTCATTAGGCGAGGAATTTTTCAAGGAGATTCCTTGAGTCCTCTCTGGTTCTGCCTAGCCCTGAATCCATTATCCAACATGTTAAACAACACGCAATACGGCTACAATATCAGACACGAAAAAACAACACAGTTTACACTCTCACATCTCATGTACATGGACGACATAAAACTTTATGCATCCACACAAAAACAACTTCATCAACTCCTACAAATCACACATTCATACACTAAGGACATACAAATGGAGTTTGGCCTAGACAAATGCAAAAAACTTCACATAGAAAAAGGAATCCTGAAGAAAGAAGATTTTGCACTTGGAAATGGAGACGTTATTGAATCCATGGAAGAGGGCGAGTTCTACAAGTACTTAGGATTCCAACAGGCCAAACTAACAGAACATACACAAATAAAGCAACGATTAATTAAAGAATACCAAAGTAGGTTAAACGCTATACTTAGAACACAGTTAAATGCAAAACACACAGTTAAAGCAATAAACACATATGTCATCCCAGTACTCACATACTCTTTTGGAGTTATACATTGGACTCACACAGATCTCGAGCAACTCCAAAGGAAAACAAGAACAACACTTACTAAGCATAAACAACATCATCCTAAATCCGCCACAGAAAGATTAACCCTTCCACGTAAAGAAGGCGGACGTGGCCTGATTGACATAGTTAACCTTCACTACAAACAAATACAGTCACTGCGAGAGTTTTTCTACAAGAAACAAGAAACATCACAGTTACATAAAGCAGTAACTCTAGCAGACTCAAATAACACACCATTAAACTTACACTCACAACATACAGACATGACACAACATATAAAAAGCATAGACAACATTAAGCAATCATGGGCTCAAAAGGCTCTCCATGGCAGGCATCCTTACGACCTGGCCCAGGATTTTGTTGACAAAACTGCGTCAAACAGCTGGTTAGATCGGGGATGCCTCTTTGGGGAGACGGAAGGATTCATGATTGCCATACAGGATCAGGTCATAAATACTAAAAACTACAGAAAACACATACTCAAAGATACAACACTCACAAATGACACATGCAGAAAATGTCACATCATGCCAGAAACTATACAACACATCACTTCTGGTTGCAAGCTCTTGGCACAGACAGATTACTTACATAGACACAATCAAGTAGCAAATATAATACACCAAGAGCTTGCAAACAAACACAAATTATTAGACATCCACGAACCATACTACAAATACATTCCACAGACAGTATTGGAAAACAACACGCACAAACTGTACTACGACAGAGCCATAATCACAGAAAACAATTTACCACAACAGACCAGACATCACACTCATTGACAAACACAATAAAATTACATACATTATAGACATAGCCATTCCAAACATTCACAATGTACAAAACACGTGCACTGAAAAATTAGCAAATACACAGAACCCGCCCAAAAAATAAGGCATTTGTCAAGGATAAATAGGGTGCTTATCGTACCTGTTGTTCTTTCCTGTACAGGTGTGATACCACACACACTACAATAAAGCCTGGGAACATTACAATTGAATAGAAATACATACATAACACTATAGAAGGCCACTACATTGAATACATGCCATATTGTTAGGAAATTCCTGAATACAGACACTGACACTGGCACACTTATTTAATTTTAGTTTTATTTTGATTGTTATGCCTTGACTCTGGTCCGGCATAGTACACAGCCACTGGTGTGAACCGAGTATATCCCAGTAAACACAACAATAATAATAACAACATTGTATTGATTGCAATTGCCGCCAGAAAAAAGTTAATACTTATGTGTATTCAATTATTTTATTTATTATCCATTCAATTTTTTTCTTTTGTTCTTTCCTATTGTTTCATGTTGTTTACAAAAGTAAGCAACATACGAAAACATTTCTCAGCAAAAATAGTTGTAATAAAGCTAATTTGTCAGTTAATACTTATTTACTGACTAATTGGCTTTATTTCAACTATTAATGGAGATAAATCGTAGAAAAGCCCTTAGATATCTAACGCAACTTTAATAAAAATTAATTAAGTAAAAGTGAGCTAAATAAAAGCCGTGGCCTCATGGCCGAGCTGTCAAGGTGGCAACCTACCGGTCTAGGGGACCCGGTTCGAATCTGGATAGGTCGATAAATCCCCAGGATTATTCTAGTGGTGATCCATCCGGATGGTTTAGGGCCCCTGTCCCTTACCGTCTGTCAGCGAAAAGAGGCCCACTTAGTGTCCACATTGCAGAATAATTCATTTTCTGCATGCGTTCTTAATAAACGATATTTATAAATTAAACACTCATCACTTACGAATACTTCACACATGAATTTAATGTTAATATTCCTGCAAAACATTCATTATGTTTTCTTTTTCGCCTCGTGGGCACAAACGGTCCTTTGAATTATGTTCATTGCGGACTTGACTAGTCCAACAATAGAGCGACCAGGAAGTAAGAAACGAGGCTAGATATATTGGGTTTCGTCTCTCACCAACCAGCCGAAATTAATTTCTGGAAACATTTTTCATTCAGATTAGCTCCCTTGTTTCCTGAGCAGTGTTGCGTTACCATAACTTAAACAACAAACAAAAGAAGTTCTCTTAATGCCCACAGGCAAGAAAGTGTTAAAAAAAATCTTCCTTTTTTGTTTTATCACAATTGATAATTTCAGAAATTTCAACAAGTTATGGTAATTAATATTTATAAAATATAAGAAAATTAATTTAAAAATATCGTTGATTCTGTAATTATTATGCAAATTACTGCTGGAAGTTTATCGTATAAAAGAAATAATTGAGACTTAATTTCTTTCATGGCAGCAGGAAAGTTTTAACGATTTTAACTTAAGTATTTACAATTTTTTAAAATAGTTTTAATCATCTAAATATGACAAATGTCGAACAAATTGAACAATTCAGATCAGGAAGAGGTAATTAAAATTTTATGTTTTATATATTGTTGTTCCATTAAAGTTTTTTAAAATTTATATAACAAAAAAATATATATATTTCATAGAGTAAATAATCTACATTCATATTTACTTTTCAGGTGGAAATATAGTTTCTATATGCAAATGCTGCGGACATCAGGCATGGACAGACTATTATGGATATTTTGCGTGTAAATCTTGCATACATTTCTTCATTAATTGCATCAGAAAGAGGAAAACTTTCTCCTGTGTGAACAATGACGGAATGTGTCAATTAGAACAAGTAAAACGACTTAAATGCCATTTTTGCAAGTTACGGTACTTATACCAACTAAAAATGAAGCCAAAAATGTATGGAAAACATGAAAATAATTGGTATATGAAAGAAATCATACCACAGTTGAGAAGAAGAACAGCACGACAGTACGATCCTAAGGTAAATATTTATTATTTTTCCGGCTGTTATGTATACATAATGGAAAGTATTGGAATCTTGTCAGTTTTGACACTCCCTAGTTTTTTGCAAATGTACACTTTTTGACATCTTCTGAACCCTAAAAAGTCAAAGAGACGATAAAAAAAATTCCATGTGTGTATATTGGTGTCTATTTTATTTTACTTAATATCTCAGGATGGGGAAAGGATGAAGAAACGAAATATGGCATGATAGCTTGCGTATAAGGGGCATTCATGCTATTAAATTTTGCTGGTTAACGGTGGACTGGGAAGGGAGATAGAAGGGTGTCATATGTCATATCTCGAGAAGGGTCAGACTTAATGAAGGTGTTATTAGTATTTATAATTTTATACAAAACTCATACCTACCCTATCCTCCTAAGCTTTTTGCTATTCGATAACAGAAAAAATCTTTATATTTTTTAAAACAAAATCTCATAACAGATGCCGCCACACGTAAATTTATTCATTGTATTAATAATATAAAAGTTATTTTTAAATACAATGTTTTAACAGCTGGAAAACTCACGCAAGTCATTGCTAGATTTTTTAAAATTGAATATAATTTAGTGAATAGTTCTCATTCTTCAATTTCAGAATGCGAGTATGTTATCAGAACGAAATTTGATAGATAAATTCTGGTTTCGGAATATGCGAAAAAATGATGCTTGGATGAACTTTGTTTTACCATTATTATTAAAATATCGAAGAAGAATCACGGTAATTATAGTAATTCTTTATCGCTAATGATAAAACAAAATTATTAATATTATTTTTTTAACGAAGGTGGACAAAACTATAGGAAAAAGAGGATGCATTATGGTAGCTGTTGATGAATCTTTGCATGCCCACGATGTATTAATATGTGAATTTCAATACTTTGATCCTTATAAATGCCATATTTTAGCTCATCAAAACCTCGGAATTGATTGTTTGAATGTTATACGCAAGTTTCTTAACAGTTCTGAAAGAGGTTATCCAACTTTAGAAGAAGCAAAGAATTATGTGCTTTTGGTATGTAATAATACTGAACTATTATTTTATATAGACATTTTTAATTTCTGTTTTTACATAGTAAAATGCTTTCTTATATCAAATTAATACAGTTTATTTTTTTTATTACAGGGTTTATTGCCTTAAGAATTTGTAAATTTTATCAATGTTTTAACTCTGATGTATATATTTACTTATAATAAACATATATTTCAATGTAACCTGTACATGTTATAATGCATCAAATGTCTGAGAGAATTAAAATATATAAAAATAAATTTTTCATAAATAAACCATTAATACACCTTTCTTGCTGAGATATGTTTTTATTAATCAAAACACTAACGTTTTCAACGTAATACGATAGGCCGTCTTCAGGTTTCTTCGTGGATTGCTAATGATGGGAAACGCCTAGCTGTGAGGTCAGTCGCTTTATTCCATTTTACTGCAGAGCCTTCTGTTTGTGCCATACAGAATAAAACTGTGTTTCAGTGCCCTTTATTGTGCTTAAGTTTCATACTTAAATTTTTTCTTGTGAAGCAAATGTAGTTCTTCTTACTTCCTAATTGTTGATTTTCAAAAGGAATTTTAAATACATTGCTTTTTTATTTTAAGTATGCTTAGATTGTATTGAACGTTGTTTAATGAGGTACGGTAGTGTGCTAGAATAATTTGGTTTGGTTGGATAAGGCACCGAAACACAGAACTTTTCCTCCTTGATAGAACTTTCATATCAAGGAGGAGAAATGGTCATATTCAGGTTTTAGACACATGAAGAAAATCTGGAGAACTGCAGCCCGTTGAGAAGCGAATCCGTAACCAATTACCAAAGTTTAGTAATATACTGGTGGACTCGGCCTAACAATGATTAATTAGGAAAATCGGTTTGGAAAACTTACTAGTGTTTCTTGTCCTTTTACATTGGGGGAGATAAGCCCCTTGGCTCACCCTCTAGGTCCGCTACTGGCATGATGACTAAAGCTTTAATTACGCGCTTTTGTGAATTTATGGACTGAAATATATAAACAAGACTTGCATAAAATTTAGTGAGTGGCACTGTTTTTATTAATTTTAAATTAAAAGGCCTTGTTTGATGATCAACTATATTAAGAATGCAGAAAATAACAGAACGCATTTTCGCAAGTGCAATGCCATACGTTGTAATGATTCATCAGAGGCCTAGTTGTAAAACCAGTGAACCACTGTACACCGATCGCGGATTCGTGCCACGCAAACGGGCCGGCAGCATAAAGTGTTATGGGTTTCTTCACGTCTCTAATACTTTAATAGGAGCCAGTTTCCCATTCAAATTCCCCGGAAGAACGTTCCCATATCATATCATGTGTTACATTACAATTTCAATACATGGAATATAGTAATGTTAAAAGTTATCTTCTTGTTGATATGATCGTAATCTCTAATTGGCCCACTATTGAATAGTGATTTGCTCTATGTATACTTCACATTTCCGTTCCTTTGACAAAAGTTTTCGATTACCAAATTCTCGAACTGTGTTAGAGCAAAACCGTATTGTAGAAATGCCGTGTTGTACGAAGTATACCTGTAATTACTACTTTCATATATATCATTTTTATTTTATTTAGAATTGAAAATTTCTCTTAACTTGTCTCAATATTATAAAAGAAAAACAGCGCAAATATAAAATTAAATTTTATTTTATTAATGTTCTCTACATCAAAATAGTACATAACAGATATTTAACAATTAAGTATAATTATAAGTTTCAATAAAAAGAATTACACATTAGATTCATTTGAGATAAAATTCACAAATTTTCGTCTGTAGACAGTACAAAATATTTTATAAATTGCTATGATATGGTGATCTTTGTGTTTTCTACTCTGGAAGAATTATCTCACCCTAAAACATTAATTGCATTTAATACAGATTTTGCTGTTTCTAATTATTTAAAAGAACGGTTATACAGTATATAGTGTGATTTTAATTAAGAAGTGTTCAGAGATGTCTGTAGAAAGAATTCTTCGATAAATCCCAGTTTAATTTGTAATAAATACTGTCCTCAATATTCGTTTTAAATTTTCAGAAACAATGTTAATTCGGTTTCTAAGGCAAAATTTGGTGGCTGTATTCCCTTAATCTTCATATTTCGTATGTTTTCTAACGAATTTCTGGTATAAAAAGATTTGCGAACGGTTCGTTTAATTCTTATACCGGTTAACAGTCATAGTGCTCGTGCCTGATGGGGTCGTATTTAATTTATGTCATATTGATGGACAGTTTGAATGTTGCCTATTGAATTTTTCTTTCTAGAGAGAAGTCTAAACACGTACTTTTTAATTATGATCACTTTGTACTTACCTTAAAAGTGAAAGCAAGCATTTGTTTCAAATCGAGTTTACATTGTGGACAAATCGATAGATATATGCGTAACAGATGCAAAATAGGTTTTGTTGTACAGTAGCTGGAGTAAAGTTTACATTGGTAGGGATCAATATAACGATAGTCGGATACAAGCACATCATGAACATGAATCGAATCGTTAATTACAGCTATCGTCATTCCTCTCTGAAGAAGTTCAGGATCTTCATTCGTCTGAGGAAGAAGCAACTTGTTAGACTTACAAATAAAAACTGTCATGTACAGTACATAAAACACTAACATTGAAACCGATTCTAGTGTTTTATAATGTTATGCAAAATTTAAACTTATTTGTTCATAAATAAAAAATATTAAAATAATATTTTTATTTATGCCCAGATTATATCAGAATACGAGTATAAATAAAATCAGATTTCAATCGATGCTTTTACTTATGTTACTGCTATTATGCAGTATCGCTACAGTGTAACTTTTTATTGCTTACTTTCTGAGTTAAAAATGGGTCAGCCCAGAGAATTTACTTTTACTTTTACCTTTACTTTTGGAACATACTTGTAAATCGTCTATGTGTTGTTAAGTATATCTCTTGAGGAAAAAAAAAAACATTAAATAATTGTAGGCAGAGCATCTTTTATTTCGTTCAATGCGTGTATCTCTTAGTATTTTCAATTTTCATGTTACTAGATTTGGAAATTTCAGTTGAAACTACTGAAATTTTCAATGTTTTCCACGGTTTATGAATCACTTTATTTTACTAAAGTGAATTCTTATATACAGTTACCACTTACTCTTTGATTACGCTAGCTGCAATGACAATAATATTCGAAAATGGAGATGGCATACTTTTGAAATAGAAATTTACATCCAAAGTAAAATTGCTGATGAAATCCGAATGTTAATTAGTATAAAATGTTTATGTCAATTGCGCTTTCCTTATTATCAACAGAAGTAAGCTTCCTAAAGAAAATAACTTTAGTTATGTTTGCTTCAAACACCATAATGGTAGAGACATCCAGAAGCTGCAGAAATGTTATTTGCAAGATTTAACTCAAATTTATTATATTATTAAAAGTTCTAAATGAATAGGACTTAACTGTAATAACCGGCGCTTATTATGGTAAAAACCGTAGACAGGTGGTTACAATTTAAAGTTATCGTAGTTATGACGGTTACTGTTATTTACAATATGTAAATATACATATTGGTAATAATCTTTATTAATTATAAATGGTCAAAACTGTTTTGTAAAATAAATTTACCTGAAGACCTTGATTAAACAACATAACTTCTCTCTCAAATACCTGCAACCATTCATAAAAGATGCTTTCATAATTGGAGACAAATTGTCGAATCATTTGTCTTTCGGTAGATAACACCTAATTAGATAAAAGAAATTATATATAAATCTTCGTTTTTTTAAATATATATCTTGAAAAATGTTATTTACACTGGTATTGTGTCTATATGAATCTATATCAAAATTCAATGTACGATACATATCTCGCATGTAATATCCATTTTCATGTCTTCCAAATTTGATGGGCATCATTCCTGCCTCATACAATCGTTGTAACTGACAAAATTTACATCTCCTCACTAAATCTCTTCTAAAAGTGCATATTCCAATAGCATTAATACAGGCATAGCAACTTCTTTTTATAATTGATTCTATGAAGAACCGGGTACAAGGTCTGCAAGTATAATTCCCATAATAATCTGTCCAGGCCTCACGACCACAGTCTATACAGCAGGATATTATTACCCCACCTTTAAATTAAATAATAATTGTATGTAAAATATCCCTCGTATTCTCATATTAACATAAATCGTTTATTATTGTATTAAATATTTAAAGAAATTACCTCTGTTTGATCTAAACTCGATAATTTGCTGTATACTAGTCATTTTTATTAATTTTTAATCCAACTGACACAGTATTGTTGTCAAAACCACCATTGCCATTCCTCATTTGCATAATTTTAAGAGTTCTTTATAATTATTATTTTTAAAGACTTTGCTCTATTAATAGAACAATAATATTTTTCTTATATGAAATTAATACAAAGTAATATTTACTGTTGGTAAAAGAGTAATAAGGAGAGTATGTTGGATCTTCTAAGTGGCATGCAGCGAAATAAGCAAACCAATAAGAAAGTTCATTTTGTTTGAATTGCATTATGTCAATTCCATTGCATAAGCAAAAAAATGAGTAAATAATAAGCTTAATAAGCAAACTAATTGCATACCCTGTTTCATTTCAAATAGACTATGCTATTGCTTTTCCTGATATAGCCTTTGTTATTCAACTGTATTTGAGCTGCTTTACTAGATAACGCGTACATTGTTTTATGCATTTAACTGTATTGTAACCGTCTTAGGATGCTTTATGAAGACGCGAAAAGAGGAAGAAACAGACGAAAGAAAACTTTCTAGATAAGTACTCTCACTCTACATGCAGTTTATGCAGAACAGGGATACCGGGTTGTCGCGAGAAATGCAGAAGTTTCCTTCGTTTTCGAAAGTTCAATCCGTTGAACTTTATCTCGTATTTTCCTCTTTTCTCTTCTTCTGAGTTGGCTCAGTAGTTCGGCAGACTCACTTCTCAACGACAACAAAATGGAAATGATGAAGCATGCCGTCTATCTGTCGAATATCAAGAATATGGCCCAAGAAACTAAACTAGAGGCTCACATTATTAGAGAGGGCAATGAAAAAGCTTATAAATTGGCTATTCAGTGCAACACCATCTCCTCTCTTATAACTTCGCCAGGCCTTATTTACACGGTATTATTCAAATGACATTATCGAATCCTCGCAGGCAGCATAAAGTTTATATATTAATTTCATTATGACTGAAATGTTTATTTATCAACATCAGCAAGTATTTCCATATTAAGCTTATTGGGCTGCAATTTGAAAAATTGCAGTCCAATTAAAAAG